AGAGTAGAAGAAGACTGTAACTTCGTGAAAAGGGCTTCTGTAGTGGCGCCGCGTCAGATGCTTAGCTAACAGTAATAACACGGTAAAACGACGGATATTCGGTTCTCGCTCAGTATTACGAGGCAGTGTGAGGTTGTCAGTAATGTATATTGGTCCGTCGTCTACACTTTGAAGGCTCTCTCGTAGCACTGATAATGCTGAAAATGAAGCTACCGACGAAAACGGGCGAGGAAGGAGGTAACCAAACGGCTAAGAACGATTCATTGGATCGGCCGAAGCACCAACATGTTCTCGGGGCGGCATCTCCCTCCGTGGCGTATGACAAGCTGGGGGACTCGCCCAGACCTCCGGTGCATCCAGCACAACTGGACAAGGAGAGCGTCTTTGAGTGGTTCGGCCTGCACCTAAACCCTGCTAAGCGTATCGAGTTCATGTGCGGGCTGTTGCATATGTGCCAACCCCTGGAGCTCCGTTTTTTAGGATCTTACTTGGAGGATCTCGCTAGAAAAGATTACCATGTTTTACGGGACTTTGAGTTTCGAGCAAATAGTCCGAGCGATTTGGGAGTGTTAACGGACGTGGTTGACCCAGTGATCAGGTCTAAACTCCTAGTCTGCCTGTCCCTCCTCGGGTCTGACAGCAGGGAATGTGCTGGAATACTCTTTCGGATACTCAGCCATGTCAACCCGGCCTTGTTCTGCAGAAATTACGACTGCCCCCTCCCTCCATTTAGGGACTCTCACGTTCACTCGCCGTGTCAGGCCGACAGTATGTACGGAGGTTCAGAAGAAGACTGCGGCTTCTCTGCAAACGACACAGCCGGAGGACCTCTGGAGCAGATTGCGCTGCTTTTTACTATGGCGTCCCTGCACCCAGCCTTCCACTTCCACCAACGCCAAGTTGTTCGGGAACTGCTCGACAAAATAGAGCTCGCTACGGAGGAGGGAAAGCGTCAACGCCAGCGTAGATCAAACGTCCAAGCAACGGTAATGAGCAACAAACCAACTTTAGCCCATCTAAATCCTAAGCTAGCTTGTTAAACTCGCCCAACTTTAAAATGTGTTCTTCAGCAGAATTGGTTAAAGTGGGGGAAAACGTTAGATGCATGTATTTCAAACTACGTAACATGAAAATTATGTCACATACTGGTAGAGTAGGCTCAGAGCAAACATTATTCTGCTAGCATTAGCTGCCATTATACTATGCTATTACTAACATGAAAGCCAGCCGGTTACCCTGCTGCTAGCTACAGTTTGGGCAGCTGTCGCACGCTCGGAGCTGTTTTGTAGCCTGCTGTTTAACTGTATGGGTTACCATCATTATAATTATAAATATGCATATAAATATGCTACGATGAGATAGCTGACTTCATCTAACTAGCAAATGTTGTCCAGGCTATGTTGGTGATGCAGTTTTTTTAATGTATATGCGATTTTAAAGCTGGTCCTACAACCGCATCCAAGAATAACATGCAGCTTATCTCAGAACTGTCAGTGAAAATTATTCTAGGAGCTAAGTTTAATTGAGCTGCATTTTATAGAGGTGCAATTTCACAATTTGTGTATATTTTCTACGTTCACTATTTTGTCATGTGTTGAGAAAAACACAGATTTAAAAATCACATGGTCTAATATTTACATTTAGCATAACTGCAACATACTTTTTTTTTTTTTTTTTTTAAAAGACTCAAAAGGACTTGAAATTCAAAATTTCAGACTTGTGACTTGACTCGGACTTTTACACCAGTGACTTGAGACTCGACTCTGACTTGCCTGACATTACTTGAGACTTGACTTGTGACTTGAGGATAAAGACTTGAGACTTACTTGAGACTTGCAAAACAATGACTTGGTCCCACCTCTGGATGATGGTAACCCATACAGTTAAACAGCAGGCTACAAAACAGCTCCGAGCGTGCGACAGCTGCCCAAACTGTAGCTAGCAGCAGGGTAACCGGCTGGCTTTCATGTTAGTAATAGCATAGTATAATGGCAGCTAATGCTAGCAGAATAATGTTTGCTCTGAGCCTACTCTACCAGTATGTGACATAATTTTCATGTTACGTAGTTTGAAATACATGCATCTAACGTTTTCCCCCACTTTAACCAATTCTGCTGAAGAACACATTTTAAAGTTGGGCGAGTTTAACAAGCTAGCTTAGGATTTAGATGGGCTAAAGTTGGTTTGTTGCTCATTACCGTTGCTTGGACGTTTGATCTACGCTGGCGTTGACGCTTTCCCTCCTCCGTAGCGAGCTCTATTTTGTCGAGCAGTTCCCGAACAACTTGGCGTTGGTGGAAGTGGAAGGCTGGGTGCAGGGACGCCATAGTAAAAAGCAGCGCAATCTGCTCCAGAGGTCCTCCGGCTGTGTCGTTTGCAGAGAAGCCGCAGTCTTCTTCTGAACCTCCGTACATACTGTCGGCCTGACACGGCGAGTGAACGTGAGAGTCCCTAAATGGAGGGAGGGGGCAGTCGTAATTTCTGCAGAACAAGGCCGGGTTGACATGGCTGAGTATCCGAAAGAGTATTCCAGCACATTCCCTGCTGTCAGACCCGAGGAGGGACAGGCAGACTAGGAGTTTAGACCTGATCACTGGGTCAACCACGTCCGTTAACACTCCCAAATCGCTCGGACTATTTGCTCGAAACTCAAAGTCCCGTAAAACATGGTAATCTTTTCTAGCGAGATCCTCCAAGTAAGATCCTAAAAAACGGAGCTCCAGGGGTTGGCACATATGCAACAGCCCGCACATGAACTCGATACGCTTAGCAGGGTTTAGGTGCAGGCCGAACCACTCAAAGACGCTCTCCTTGTCCAGTTGTGCTGGATGCACCGGAGGTCTGGGCGAGTCCCCCAGCTTGTCATACGCCACGGAGGGAGATGCCGCCCCGAGAACATGTTGGTGCTTCGGCCGATCCAATGAATCGTTCTTAGCCGTTTGGTTACCTCCTTCCTCGCCCGTTTTCGTCGGTAGCTTCATTTTCAGCATTATCAGTGCTACGAGAGAGCCTTCAAAGTGTAGACGACGGACCAATATACATTACTGACAACCTCACACTGCCTCGTAATACTGAGCGAGAACCGAATATCCGTCGTTTTACCGTGTTATTACTGTTAGCTAAGCATCTGACGCGGCGCCACTACAGAAGCCCTTTTCACGAAGTTACAGTCTTCTTCTACTCTGCATTAACGGCAGTGTGGCAACTACTGTTAGCTCATTGCTGCCACCGCGCGACTGGTGTTGGAGTTACAGTGGCACAATGAAATACTGTACTTGAAAAACTCAAACTTAAAATTAAATTACAGGCCTGTAATTTTACTGTAATAGGCATACTCTAATGCAAAACAGCGTATTCTGCTACTTAATTTGTTCAGTGAGATTTAGTGTAGTGCATGAAACACTAAACTAAATCGAGGGCCAGAAAAAGATGCTTCGTGGGCACAGCCGACATACCCATCACCCATTTTAGAGTGATCTTCAGCAATAGTTCTCCACTACAGGTCACTGCATGGGCTCAGGAAAACTTCCAGAAATCACTGTCTGTGAACAGTTTGCTGTGCCATCCTCAAATCCATGGTTAAAGCTTTATGATGCACAAAAGAAGCCACACATATGAACATGAAACGCCACTATCTTCTCTGGGTCAAACAAGAACTGAAGCAAAGAGAGAAACTGCTCTGTGGTGAAACGAACCTACATTAGAAATTCTTTTTGTAAAACATGGAGGCTGATGATTCGTTTCTAAATTCCACTTACTGATTAAACTTTATTGAACTTTATTGAAGTGCTGAAAACAAGACTTCATTAAAACACTTCTATTTAAAATATAGGATCACCTCACATTTAAAATTGATCAGCAACCCAAAGGATAAGTATTTATTTTAATTAATCTGTATCTGTCCAAATGTGTTCCAATCCCTATTTTAGGGGCAAAATATGCTAAAAGGTTAATATCTCCTGGACAGTTTTTCCAGTTTAAAGCGAAGATCACGAGCCATCAGTACTGTTCATTGAGGCAAGACTGCCCTCTGGAGGAAACATCTGGAAATTACAAGAGTGGCAGTAACTACCAGCAGCACCTCCCATACAAAAGTGTGACAGCATCCATGTAACTAATGCTGTATGTTGAATCTTGAACTTCAAGCTCATTAATAATGTGTTCGGTATATATATATTAACATATTATTTTTTCACTGCTGTGCTCATATGAATACACATAAATAAAGAAAACAAACAAATTATACTACAAAAATTATGTCAACTACTATAAACAGCCTCCACTTTGCACTTTTCACAATTTTATTGTGAATTTTCAATTAAATCGATTTTCTTTTGGTAATAATGGGCTGAGATTACAGAGAGACAACACATTAGTTTCTCTCAGAAACATGTTAAACATAATTCTACTTTTTTATTGAGCAAAGGTAACCTCAACCTTCCCCGCTCTGCTGTTTGCTGTTACACACAGTTGAGTCTTTTGCTTCAGCTTAATTTTTAAGTACAGTATATGGTTTGATAACACATGTATCCAAATGTTATTGTAGAAAATGATGCTAAAATCCAAGTTTTCCCATGGGTTGGTCTGTGAGGAGCAGACGGAGTGTAACGTGTCATTTCCGTTTGTCAGTGATCGCGACTTTATCGCAGTGATTCAACGTGAGCCGCAGCTGCTTTTTCATCTCTCGCTGCAGAGCTTCTGTAACCCTTTAATTGAACTCATCTCCTGTACAGCTGCAGAAAACAGCGTGCTGTGAAACCACAGTGCTGCCGTGCTTTATTACACGACTGCTGATCACAGGCTCAACACTTGATCCCCTTTATCTCAGACTCAGAGAAACTGTTGTTTAACTTAACAACCTTCACTGAATGAGGCTCCTACTCTCACTTAGCTCAGTTAAGTTTATTAACTGTTTGTTGTTCATTTCACATTGAATGTTAAATGAGTCATTTATGCAGTCAGACTTGTAAGCCTTTTTCACACATCTAGTAGCACCGTGCATGTAAGTGTGTGTGAGTAGATCCACACTGGATATACGTTGGTCTTAGTTGTGTCATATTCCGTGGTGGAGTTGGCCACAGTTTACAAAGGCTGCCCTGACACTCCCACTGCACCCTCTGCCAACCAGGAGGAGGACTGTCACTGCCGAGCCAGGCGTCCTCTCTCTTCAGCGTCTCCCAGCAGAGTGGCATTCATCATTGGCTTGTTGCAGCTGAAGGAGAAAAGGAGAAAGGTAAGGACCTGTCAACACTTCTTTATTACACATGCTCTCACACAGTGTAGCTTTATGAGGAGGAAGCCTGGACAGAGTAGCTGTCCATTAGATTGCCAGCTACTCTTCCTTTCCTGGACTTCTCTGTTCTGCCCATCTCTGCTCAGGATGGTGGTTGCTGTTTCATTTACTACTTAATCTGCGATATGCATGCATCTTGTCTAAAATGCGATGTTACCACAGCGTCGGTTTGGTTTGGCCAAAACTGACCAGCCATCAGGACAACAAGAAGCTAAATATACTGCAGAAGTCATACATCAAACTCTGTGATTATGGGTCAGAGAGTTGAGGTCCTCAGCTTTACTGGAAAGCACCAGCCTCCCTGTGTGTTTCTTGGCTTGTTTAAGTTACGCTGTCAGTTATGTCTGTTCCCTGAAATAACTTCTAATTACTGTATCCACTGTACAGCAACACAATAAATTGGAAACGATGGAAAAGGTGTGTGCCGGACAGTTTTTAAGATCGTCATGGATCGCATGGAAGAAAAGTGCAGTTTTCAGATGCAGTCACCAATTATCTTTGAACAAGAGATGACAGTGAAAGTTCTGCTCGGTCACTGCAGTTATTTTTGACATCAGCTGCTCGTTGGTTTTTGACAGAGGAAAGATCGGATCTGGTAAAATGTTACCTGGTTTGACGAGCAGGAGATACAAAGCAGTGTATTTGTAAAGGCTGCGTTGCAAACAGAGCTCTTTCACTGATGTCTCTGTACCTTTACCTGTGCTAGCTGTGGCTGGTTGAGCAGGTCTGTAGAAACATTGGTTTAAAATGTCAGGTTACCCTGAGCCAACATGTCATCACTCTGGGCAGACAAGATGAATCTATGAAATCTAAGCCCTTCATTGTCCGAACACAACCTTATCGCATTATGTTACTTCACTGGGATGTTTTCCACTCTTCAGATCTTCAGCTCAGTCCCTAATCAGAGCACTAATCAAGTTCATGTAACTGTAACACAAATCTAGAAAAGGCACAAAACGTGCTGTTACGTAGAAAGAAGCAATAATTGAGCAGAGAAGAAGCAAAATGTGACTTGAAATTGAAACAGCATCTGTGAAATCTCAAGTAACTGGAAAACCTGACATAAATATTGAGAATTTCATTTACCAAACATTCTTTAGTGAAATTAAAAGTGTACTGCTCATCTTTTAAACAGGAGGCATTTAATCCGACAAGATTAAATCCAGATGTGAAGTTCTCATCACAGAGAACCTCACATCTGGATCTATATTTATTTTTGTCTGTTACTGCATATAAGTGTTACATGACAATAAACAGGGATAATCAGGCTGCAGTTCCAACGGAACAAAATGTATTTGAAGGACCAGTCCCTGATCTACCTGTGAAACCGCAGGAAATATGTTTTGGACAGTGTTCAGAATATAGAGATAAATTAATGCCAGGATGTAGGCTTGTATCCAATTTTCTCTACAAGGTCATGAAGAGGAAGTGGAGTTGCTTGTCCAGATCAGCTCTGGTGAAGCACACGTACCCTCTTTCTTCTTTTTGATAAGGCTCGTACTTATTCTGCTGACCCTGAATCCACCCCTAGTTATTCTGCGCTAGGTACTGGGAGCTTCCCATGATGCACTGCCTCTTCTTCACTCTCTGTGTTTATATACTCCACTTTGCATTTAATCATTAGTTCTCTTCCACAGCGTGTCTTTAGTCCTGTCTCCCTCCCTCACCACCATCAGGTCACGGCAGGTTGCCCCGCCCCTCGCTGAGCCTGTTTCTGTTGGAGGTTTCTTCCTGTTAAGTTTTCCTTCCTACTGTAGGCAGGTACTCGCTCATAGGGAGAGATCTAATTGTTGGAGTTTTCTCTGTATTGCCCTCTTACAGCACAAAGTGCCTTCAGGGACTGTTGTTGTGATTTGGCGCTATAAACAGTGGAATGAATTGAACTGAATTAATGTCGAGCAGCGTGATGAGAAAGAAATGTAGGAGCTCTTTAACATCAGGAAACACTTTCCTGTTGAGTCTGTGGGCACAATCCCCATGTGTCAAGTCACAATTATTATAAAAATGATATTTAGTTTGTCAAACATGCGCCCACCTTTTAGTAAAATAGACAGTAAAGCTGCTTTAGGGCACGAGTATCTTCTGTTTGATACGTTGCCTCAGAGAGTCACGTGCCGTCTTTGGAGAATACTTTTTGTAAGACGCAGTGGCATTAATTAAATGATGTGACACATTTATTGTTTGTTAAGCTTTCAAAGGAAATGAGTTACAAGTAGGTAAAGTGTGTGTAGAATGCAGGCGTCAGCATTTGAAAGCATTTTCTAAAGCGGATACAATGTGTCTAACTTCACGGCTAAAATAATACCGTTCCAGATTTATCCACTCAAAATGTGTTGAAAAAAAAATCATATTATTTTAACTGAGAAAGCTATAGTGTACTTGAACAGGTTGGGATCCAGTAGCAGTGCTGCTCTCCGCAGTCATCATATTACATGAACCAGTGAAAGGCGCTGAGCAATCCCAGCAACATTTATGCACCAGGAATGTTCTGGGATGCTGAAGCCAGCGGAGGCTGCTCGTGTGGTTGGTAAACTGCACTTCTGGTTTGCTAGAAGAAGAGTGAGGTTTTGGAGGAATTCAGGTTCAGTACACACCTCTCCATGTCTACTGACTGATGTGTGGAAAAGAAGAAGTGAGGAATGGTGGATGCAAAGAGAAGAAGCAAAAAGAGTGTCTGTGTGGTTTTTTCCAGACCTGGTAAAGATAAAAACAGTGAACGGTTATGAATGATCTCCACTGGTGTGTTGTTTCCCTCTTTTACTGTTGATGTTCTGTCTTTGGATGTCTTACATCTCTATCTTTTACTTTCTTTTCTCCTTTTCCACCTCAGCCATTTAAAGTTGGGTTAAAAGTCCGCCTACTCTCTAAAGGAATCCAGCTGCTGTAACGAAAGAGCTGTTTAGGATTTGTACTTGGACAAATACTCTCAGACAGTCAGCCCATGTTTAATATGAGCATCCGCCATTAGAGCAGCATGAAGACAGAAATGGGGAAACAGCATAACTTTAAATTTCACATAAAATCAATTGAATTGCGTGTTTACGTAATTTGTACATGTTTATAATTACTTGTATTTTAAAGTGTTGATCAGGAGTGTGTACGAATCAAGTTCTGTTCTGAGTCTTAGCCGGTCCCATCCAGTCTGACTTATTGCTCTCAGCTTGGGACTCAGCTTCACTCCAGAAAAGAGGACAGGTTGAGCTGATCCGTGCAGGCAGGCAGTGCCTACTTTTGAATCCAGCTGCCATCCATGTGGTGGAGCTAGTTCAGATACGCTGTTATCTAACTGGACAGAGGCTGCTCGGGGAACAGTCGCAAAGCTTCCCTCTTAGCTTAAATTAGAATTTGCAAAGTCATGGAAAAACTCAAGCATCCCAGTTATGGCAGCGTTCGTGCGATGCAAACATTTATCATTTAGGTGAATTAGCCCACTCTGTAGACCAATCGTTCCCATGTGTCATAAGAGATGTTTGAATTCATGTGCCAAACACTTCCACTCGCTATAGTAGGAAAAGCACAGGCACAGCTAATAACCTTAATTAGGGCACTGTGCCATTTAGTTGTACAAATAAGCCATTTCACTGAGCTCACAGGCTCATGTCTGAAGAAGAAAGGGTTAGTTGTACCAAAAATGTTAGTGTCTTGAAAAATACTTGCCAGTGTTAGCAACGATTGCCTGCTTTTATGTGAAACCCACAGATTATGCAGGTTTGTTTGGTTCTTCTCATTAAAGTGGGAATGTTGTCTCTTTTATGGTCGAGCAGGATGATTTAGAAGGCCGGTGGCTTAATCCCCGGCTCCTCCTGTTGCTCATCATGTGTCCGTCGGAGTGTGAGTGTCAGCAGTGAGAGTGCAGAGGTACCGATGAAAGATTGTATGAGTGTGTGGGGGACTGGGTGAATGAGACTTGTAGTAGAAAGTGTTGTGAGTGCTCAAATTGAATAGAAAAGCGCTCTATCCTCCTGAGAACCGAGGGAACGAGAATCTTCCCATTGAACATTTTTGTGATTTCCTTCCTCTCTGGACGTAGTGGAGGCCACCCAAGCAAATGAGATATCTGTGGAAGGCCCTGCATGTCCTTTATTTAGTAGATCAGGACTTAGGAGGGTAGCTCAGAGGACATAAATGAATACGCTGGTTCTCGATAAAGAGACTTTCATAATGGGAAGCTAAATAACACTTTGGTACTGAGGCTGGTGAATTGTTCAGAAATGTGTAGAAGCCATGATGCACAGTCCAGCTGTAGTTTTATTGAAGGATGTAGGTATGAATATACATCTGTGTGCATATGTGTGTGTGTGTGTTTGTGGTTCTGAAAAGAAAAATTTGTACAACAGATGCTTAGTATTCACACATAAGGATGAAACGTCCACACAAAGGATACTTTATACTTTCAACATGTTAGCAGTTAGCAAAGGGGGCTAGCAGCAGCCTGACATGAGGCTAAAAGCAGCAACTATTCCGGCGCATGTGGTGCACTAACACTGTAATTAGCACACGCTTCTGCACAGGCTGCACTGCAGCCTTCAAAGAGGCAGGACTCATTTCTACTATTACAGCCACTGCCTCCACATTAATCACAGTTTTCCATCTTTACCCAGGATGCTATACAACTGAACACGCTTACACATTCATAATACAGCTGTGAGACTTTGGCTCAATTAAATATGTGTTAGCATTCAAACCATCAATTCCAGTTTTACCAGCACATTCACAGAAAATATAATTGCTGCAGTTAAAATGAGCAGGACTCAATATCTAATATTACAATAAACAATATAACTACAAGTATAATGCACACATAGCTCAGTCTGTAGCTTCAGTCTGATATTTGTGCCCCTGGGGTACCTGTGGATCTCCAGACTTGCTGAAGGAGTTGAGCTGTCAGGGATGCATGTGCTGAGAGCATGACCTAGTGACAGCTGAGGTCAGATGAAGCT